AACCATACCCTAATAAGAAAACTGCAGTCCTCAGCCTACCATCATCATATGATGGCCATCATAGCTCTTACTGGGCCAGCCAATTCACCAGGTGAGGACTTAACAGTAGCCAATGTTGATACCCAGAATGAAGTAACAAAGACATGGCAAGACTGTTCCCTTAAGCTCTCATCCTCTGTATTCTCCAGCCAGCATCAATTAACTTATTACTGTTTATCTACTGAATTTTTCAGATTGTAAGTCTTTTTCTTAAACTGTAAGAAGAAAAACAAACACCACATTTCAGGGGATGGAAAGATATATTCTTGTCTCCTTCTACAGAAGGGAAATGCTGAAAAATGCAGACACGCAACTTATAGCTTGCCACTGACTGAGCAATTCTGAACACATCAGCCTCTCTGCCCAGGTACCTCAATCAAGACCTGAGCAAGCCACAAAATGGGAGCTTGTCAGCCCAGCAATGCATTCTCATTGCATCGCAGGACATTGACTAGTAAAATGTGGTGTTACTCACAAAAGGTGAGTAAGGATTCTTCAAGATGCTTACAGCAAAATAGAAACTCCCAGGGAAGTTGAGAGCAGGCAGTATTCACCTTCACTAAATTTCTTTGAAAACCCTTCTAGCAGATCACTCTGCTCTCTGATTCTTTGTTTCATGTCCTGTGATGATAGATTTTGATGTGGTTTCAATCAAGTCTAGTTTTTTCCTCTCTTAATAAAAGTGTTTATCGAATCACACATGCTGAAATATTCTTTGTCAGGGAGGTTCATAGACCGTGTCAGATATCTTCAACTCTTTGCCATCCTGCTGCGATGCAAAAGCAGGCCTAGGGACAGACCAAGTTTGCCAGTGTCTCTAATCTGAGACATAAGCACATTTTGTAGGCACTGATATTTCTCACTCTCACACACGTAATTTCCAATCAGAGAAATTGTTTTCTTTCCAGGTTCCTGGTCTAGTAAAACAAAGCAGACAATGTGGAGGGTGTTAAAAAGGGGAGAAAAAAAATTTGCGTTTTAGAAGCTGTTTAATATTTTAAGCTATAAGTGCAAAAGGGCTGGGATAATGTTTAAAAAGATAATGTTCGGATGCCTACTTGGAAATGCTGTAATCTTTTCAAGTCCATAGTGTTTTAGCAAAAAGACCCTTTGTGTCCATATACAGGAAGACAGTGGTTAAGCACATAATTAACTAGAGCAAAAACTGAGAGGAAGAGCGAGAATTAGCAATGGGTGCTCCAGGAAAAGGAGATCTAAAGCCTCTGGAAAGGGATGGAGGGAGACTTCTCTACAAGGTAAAGAGCAGCTTTCACTTCATCCCTGCTCCCACCTTGCTCTATGCTGCATAAGAGTGATGGATTTAAGGAGAAGCACAAATTACATGAGCCAGATGTCATCTGCTACTGCTTTGTCCCAAGTCTCCCTGGAATATAGTTTTCCACTACCATCTGCCATTTGCTGGATTTTAACATCTGTCTTTCCCTAAAATTAACTCTCCCAAAGCCCCTTGACATAAGGATCAATGAAAATTGTGCACTGGATTTTTTACAAGCACCAAATTTGAAAATCTTTCTTCCTCATGTAAAGGCACATATTTTTCTTTCCTTGTTTTCTCCTGGCTTGCTCCTCCTGAAGTAAGAAGAAAGATCTGGTTATAACAGGTTAATCTACAATCTGTGTGTTAATCTACAATAATTTTCATGTCAACTTACTTTGGGAGTTTTTTCTCTTTGGCCTTGCACAAAGAGCCTTGGCATGACCCTGACTCTTGACATAGAAATTCCCTTTGTCTCTCTAAATGGGGCTATTCTCTTTCAAACCTCTAGGTTTTCTTTGTAATCCCCCTAAACTTTGTAGGGGCAAAAGGAAGGATATTTGCACGAGAGTTATCTGTCAAGGTAAATACAAATCCCAGACCTCTCTGGGCCTTAGAGAGTGCTCCAGCCTTGAAGGTTTCACTCAGCAGCACGACAAATAAAATGGTTTCCCTCTTGGACCTGGGACAAATATGCTGCATTTCAGGACATAGCAATGATTTCATCAAGTAAGCCTTCTGTTAAAAAAACATGACATATCTATATGTTTGTGTCTGTGATAAATGCTACTTATGCCCCATATGCATATACTTTTGCATGTGGGAAAAATACAAACGTAATATTTAGTCTGAAATGTAATAATTAGTCTGAAAAGTGCATTGATTTTGACCTTTTGCAATTTAACCTTCACAACTTAAAGGGAAGCCACCAAAGACAAGTGTTGGCTGTACATTAAACAATCTCTTTGATAAAAAAATCACACAGCACATTGATCTATTACTCAAATTGCAGTGGTTGCAAAGTAATTTATTTAATCAACTCTACTCTGTTTTATACCTATGGCAACACTTATAAAGGGATTAAGTTAACAAATTGGTCCTTACAAGATACAATTCCTTTATTCTCCACATATAAATTTGCTTGGGCATGCATAGTTTAGGAGTTAGCATAAACCTGGAACAAACTTTCTGTACCACACACAATAAGCAGCACAGGCTAAAGCTGGGCTTAAGCACATCAGGATAGTGTGATCCCTGAGTTTGCTGATCTGGAGTGAATATTATCTTGGATGTAACCACACGTTACTCTATAGAAGTGACTTGAGGAGAAATCATTAACAGTTCTTAGATGCCTAAGATCTATAAAAGTGAAATCACTCTTCACTTCCACCTTATCAGCAGTTCTTATTTCATCTGAAAGTAGTGTCAGGGTTGAAAGCAAAATCTGAAAAACCTTAATGTAAACAATTGAATACAAAATCCCACAGAATTAAAATGGTACAAAGGTCTTTGATTGTATATTAGTTTTATAGATTTTCATGGTCTTCTGAAAAAGATATGGAACATACAAAGGTGACAAACTACGTCATCTTTAAGGCAACAGGCCTTCATGGTACTGATAATCATGCTCACCTTCACCTCTTTAGAGAGAGAGTTTTGTATGGGAAGGTACTGTGATATGACTTACCTGGTCATCTCCAGTGTCTTGTTTCTCTTCTTTGCAGCACAGTCTCACCTCCTTCCCAGCAGACTCATCCTTGCCTCTGCAGGCAGCATCAGCTGCTCTACCTGATATCCATGACCAATAAAAACATATAGGAAGGTAATAGTTATACAAACATACATTCATGTATGCAGGTACATGTGTGCACGTGTTTGTGTGTATGTATTATATTTATGTTTTTCACTAGATCTTCTCCTACTTTCCTATCTGTCAAAGCTGCACCACTTGTCTTCTAAAGCACTAGCCTGGAAACTTTTAGATATGTTCTTGTCTTTAATTACAGGAGTAGTTTCCCAAGAACTACTTCTCCCAAGATGGGAATACTCGTGTACATAGGAAGAGGATTAAAGTGCAGATTTTTTTATGAGCTAAGACAATTTTCCAACTATTATTGTGAAATAACTGAGCAGGAAGGATTAAAAAGCTGGCAGAAGTCGCAAACCTTTCAAAAGCAGGACAACAACTGTAAGCATTTAAAAGATCAGGTTTGAGGGTAAATCCTCCATCCACTGGTAATGCAACAGCCATTCTCTAAAGACTGGGATAAATATGCTGCTGTAGTTAAATGCTTCATGGCATCATGTGGTAGCTAACAAATCTAAGGGATGACCAGGGCTGGATATGTAATCTTGCTGAGTGTGATAGTCTGCTTTCCTTTTGAGTAAACCTATCCTTTAATATTCCCAAAACAACCTTGGGATCTGATGGCTAGAACAGGAAATTATTTCCTCACCCTCAGGGAATTCTTTAGTGCTATAAATGAATGACTCACTTTTTCAATCAGGACAATAAAAAGGCAGTCTCGAGCTGGGTTTCTGATTTGAACATTGTGTTTCATGAGCCTACTATCTCATTCTGATTTTTCCGAGTGCATAGAAAAATATGGCATAACCTGTGTTTCTAAGTAAAAGGCATTTCAATGAAAACTAGAAGGTTTTTATTTAAAATTCACTGCAACAGAGTGGTCTTGGCAATGATAGAGATGGGGAAATCATAAAAATCAAGTCTGGGGGTTGTATGGTTTGGTGGATTTTGAAGGGGGTGTTGTTTTTTATTTTGATTTTGTTTGTTTGATTTCTTTTCTGTTAGAAATCTTAATCTTGACCCAAAAAAATCTTAGGAGCCTATGCTTAATTTTTTCAAGAGTGCATTTATGAGCTTGAAGATTGGACGCTGATTCACCTAAATAGAGGTGACTTACACTCTGTAGAGTAATGAATGTGCTTTTCTCTCCCAGGCATTGACGGGGAAAGCTCACAGTTCTTTCAGGTGGTGCCTTTAGAGCATTTAACATGCTTGGCATTTTGCAGAACTGCACATGATACGTAAAGTATCCAAGGGTGTTGCACAGTTTGCAGGGCTGGCAATTAGCACTTCGTCCCTTTGGCCTTCTGTACAATATGCTATTTATGAAAGGAACCTTGAATAATTTAAAGTGTGCTGTGCACACTAGTGCTTTTGAATTGCAGTTGCTGAGTGGGGGAAAAGAGGAGAAGACAACCTCAACTATGAGCAATCACAGTTTTTAAAGACGTTTTAATAAAAAGGCATAGACAAAAGCATTTTTGTTGCAAATGAATACTAAGAGAAGGGCAGTTCCCACCACCGAGTAAAGTATTTCTTCCAGAGTTTTTCCAATGTCAGGCATGTCTGTATATTTTTCTTTCACTTGAAACAACAGCTCCATCCAAAGGTACTGGCAAACAACTGGCAGCCATGGAAAACTCCTTGCCTGGCCCCATAAATACCATGCTTGTATAACCGGTTGTGGCCAAATATATACACAAACACTGCAGTCATTGCTGAACCTCAGTTTTGGAGACAGTGTTCATCAGTTTTCATGTTTATAGTGCTGCTCCTGGACACCTTGCTCTTTTACCCTCAGCTCTCCCCTGGGTCCCTGATGTCATCACTCGTGCTCCCTCCCCTTGTCATTTTCTTTGTGCCTCTAGACACGGCAGCTGCAGGTCACCTTTTGGCTCTCTGTGCCAAAGATTTTGAATCCTCCCCTACTTCTTTGAGAGCACCAGCATCTGTGGCTCTTGGTCATCTGGCAGGAACGGTGCCTCAGCCTCGAGGCGCTGACCATCTCCCCTGCATTCTGATTCCTCTCCTTCGGCCTCTGCAACTCGTGGAAGAGGAATGAAACAGGATTAGAATCCACTGGTGGGTCAGGGACTGGTGATGCTGTTCCCCAGCCTCCCAGAGGACGCCTGAGCGTGGCGTTGCCGTAGCGACGGCTCCTGCTTCTCCTTAGATAAGACGGGCAAGAGCGTCAGCTGCAGCCCCAGACCGTCCAGTGAGCCTCGACGCCAAACCGCACCTTCCTCACCACCTCGCACCGCTTTGTAAGTACTTCAGCCACAAGCTCGCATGCTTCTCTCCCGGCTAGTTGGTTTGGTTGGCTTCTTGATTTTAATCTCTCTCTTTTTTTTTTTTTTCTTTTAGCAGTCACAACCAGCATGGCAAATTGCCTTGTCACCTCTGGGGCTCTGGGGACTAGCAAGAAAGCACAGGGTCCCCATTCCACAGGGAGTGGGCTGGGGATGGTCCCATTTGGAGAAAATTGCAGTGTGACTGCACTGAGGCTGGAATGGACGGATGGGGTCATGGCAGGGAGAGTACTTAAGAGAAAACTGCTTCAGCTAACTTTACTGCGGGGACAGTTCACAGGCAGATAATACAAGCCAAAAGAGTGGGAATTGATATCAGGACTTCTTATCCCACTACTAAGGTTGGCATGTTCAAGGGGTTAATTGGTACTTTAAGGAAATAATTAAGGAAGATTTTGTATTTTTTATTATTTCAAAAGGCAAAAACTTTGTGACCAGAACCTGTGCAAATGTACATCACAATTTTTCAGTCAATCAAAAGTTCAGCTGTTGTTATTTTTATTTATTTTACATGTGTAAGGGTGGTATTGGGAATCAGTCCGCAGCCCAGCCAGGGTTTTTTAAATAGTGCACACTCTCTGTGAGAATAAACTGCTCCCAGATAATTCTGTGGTATTTCTGTATCCATGTTGTTAGTAGTAGCAAAGTTTTTGGGTGGAAGGAGGCACTCAGATCTAGCTTTCCAATATCTAAGAGTTTGCTAAGAAGATTTAAATATGCTTTAGAAAAGTAACAGTCAGACTAATCTAAAAAGAATACCTGGAGAGAGCAGCCTAGTGCCTAAATAACTGAAGAAGAAACTCTGTGTACTAGCTTGAAGGTGTCTTCTGTGCCCAGGAAGGCATCAGTCCAATAGGGTAACATTAAACATATGGTAAAACTTGTAATGAAAATTTTGGAATGTAACACAGGAACACCCAGACTTTCTACTTTTAAAACATCTGTTTTCTGCTCTGACTGCAGTAGACTGGTTGTTTTGCTTTATTTATGACTTGCCAGGAAGCAGTTGCAATTGGGCTAGGATGAGAAGGGTTATGGGGTGCACATTTTCTGATAAAGGTGCCAAGTCTGCCTGCTGAGTGAAGGTGGAAGAAGCCAAATGTAGCCTGGTGTTGTACCATTCCTCTTGGCCCCTGAGCTGTTTCACATGATTTCTGTGTTGGGAAGGTGGGTGTGAGATGGCTACATCCAGGGGATAGTATCTTATTCCTTCTTTTTGCATTTGTATATGACTTAATGCAAATAAGGAGCCTACTTGCATTACAGGGCTATCTTCAAAGGACATGTTATAGAAGGAAGGACAGGTCTGTCTTTGCCTCCCACATAGGTTTAGGGAGGCAACAGAAGAGCAGGGAAGGATGCTGGCAGCCTGCCTGACCCTCTTTGCTCATGTCCTCATTGCAACCAGATAGAAAGGGGCAAACCAATTTAAAATATTTTAAATAATCAAAACCTGACAGGAAACCGTAAATATGCATGTGATGGGAGAAGAGGTACCAGTCTTGAAGAGCCAAAGCAGGTCTTTGGGCACGACAGCAATACGCTGCTTTTGGTCAAAGCTGGACTGTAACTATGCAGTACAGCCTCTGTCTCAAGTCTGCATGGGGCAGCGCCCTGTAAGATATTCCTATTTACTCTCATTTCCAAGTATAGGGTACACCAGCAGCAGCAAGGCCAGGCCCTGCATATGGGAATGTGGACAAGCTTGTGTGCGTGCTGTCCCACTCCAGGGCCCCAGTTGCTTCTCTTTCTGCCTCTTCTCTCAGCTCATGGCAAAATATGTTCTCACAAATTGCTCTGGCATCAGAAAATACGTACATAGTGTCATGCAGGCTTCTGTGGCAATCTGTATTACCAACTACCAAAATATACTTATTAAATTCAGATTGCCTGTTGCCACCCAACAAGGATCATCTCAAGAGTACTTTTATTTATGTAGCATCCTTGTCAACATGCCCATGGTTTCTTTAATAATTGTGCATGTCTTGGAAACTAGCACATGCTTTTCTTGGGGATTTTGTCAATTGTGGAAACAAAACACTCCTCTGAACAAGAAGAAAAGAATTCACATACAACACCACATGGTCTACTGAAGTCTTCAGAAGCACAGTTTGTGGATACCTTACAAAGGGTCAGTTCAGAAATTCTAAGTATTCAACATACAAGAAAACCATGAGCCTTACTGTACAATGGTGAGGAGTATTGACATCGATGCCCACATAACCCCTGTAAACTTTCATAAGAATTGTATATCAGAACTTCATTTCTCCATCTTATAGATAAGAATGATCACCTATTGATGACTCATTTGAGAACTACATTGTCCCTTGAGACTGGATACAACTATCCATAGGTACCTAATTTTCATTTAGCACCTAGAACAATTCAAACCCTACGAGAAGACAAGAAATGGAGATTTAACTTTCCCCCAAGCCATTTCCATGCCTAGTTCAGGATCAAATGAAAAGTCCAGTCCTTTAGTTTTGTTCTGAAAGCTTTAGTTTTCTATCTTACAGGGTAGATTTTTCTCATGGGATTTCATCATAAGTTGGTTTAAATGTCACAGTATCAGATGGCCTTGAAAGATTTACATCATTTTAGTAGAAATATGTGAGTAGCTTTACTGAGTATTCCCTAAGCTCTAGGGTGATTACACAATAAATCAACTGTGCATTAAAATAGTAGACCAAAACCAGTTCCTTTGTCTGTCTCCAGCAAAATATTTTTACATAATTGAAGCCTGGAACTGGTTGCATTGGTGCCCTTTTTTATGGAAACCCACAGTTTAAGCAAAAAAAAAGAATCATATTATGTGCAAGTCTTTGGGTTTTTTTAAGACTATGTGAAAGGATAGCTTTATTTGGCCACTTTAATCAAGCACGTATAGCAACTGAGAATTTTGAAAAAAAATAGAATGCACTTTAAGCTATTTAAAAATCCAAATTTGACATCCAGAAAGTGAAAAGTTCAGCTATTTTTCATCTGAATCACCATGTCTTACATGAATGTGTGCCCAAAGGAGTCCTACTGTTATATGACAGTGATTCAGCATGAAAGTTCATTTATATGAGGCTGAAGTAGCTTTTAGTCATACCTGTACTTTTCAGTTTGCATTATCATTCATTCTCCTCCTCTGTCTGTAACTAGAGCCAATCCTATAGAACGCCAAAAATTTTAACAAGGAGCAATGAAAAGCCATGTAGGCAAAACTAGAGTTTGTCTCAACTCTTAGGAAAGTATTTCAGGTGTCTCAATCAGCTCTTACTCCTTGAAAATGGAGAATAGAGTTTGTGAATAAGAAACTAGCACAACTGTTGCTGGATGAAGGGAGATACCCAAGATCACTTGGACTGCGCCTTCAGGTTGAAGGTCTTCTTCCTTTAACATTGCTTTTGTTATTCTGATGGGTTTCTGCTAAGCAACCATAGAAACAATCAGCAGTGAAAAAGGTCTAATTTTCTTCTCTCTGTGATGGTATCTGTGGCAGCCCAGAGTTAGTGAGTCCAGGACCAACTCTCAGCTTAGGGGAGGTGCTGGGGAAGCTCAGGTAGGAGGATGGACTTCAACACCGACTGTAGCTATGTGTAAAGAGGGGTAAATCAGCCAAAACAGCAATCCACTGAGACTTACAGAGCATGGACAAATAAACAGCCTGGTGAAATGGGTTCCCGTGCTCTTACCAAAGTGATGAGGAAGTCTACTTCATGCTGGCTTTGGGGTCTGTGCACACCGGTCATCTTTCTGAGGCAGCCCTTACACTTGGATCTTCAGGGTCTTCAAGGTCTCTTAGGGGAGCCGTACTTATAAGACTAACTCAACAGAATTCATAATTAAAGTTGGATCATGTAATAAACACCAAATATGATCCTTAGTTTATACTTGAGAAAAAATGGAGAAGAAAACTAGAAAAAACAGAAAAAACCCTAGTATTTACTATTTGTATGAGATTGCACTTTCTGTATGATCAAAGTCAGTATTCTTCTGTAGAGCCAACCCGTGCTATTGTGGGTTGCTTATAGCAAGGATGCATCTCAGCATGTGTGAGTGAAATCAGGCCAGTAGACTGCATGACAGAGGGCAGCTGGAAGACAAGAGCTCATCATGATCTGGCTTGCAAGTGGATACATAACACCAATATGGTTGTGCTTTTTTGTTTTGTTTTGTTTTGGTTTTTTTTTGTTTGGTTTTGGTTTTGGTTTTGTTTGCGGTTTTGCTTGTTTGTTTGTTTTGGGGTTTTTTGTGTGTGTCTCTGTGTGTGTAGTATCTTCAAAGAAGGAGAAAAGCCTATTTCAATGATGTCAACAGAATGTGTTCAGCCACTTGATATGCCAGATGACAGACTGGATAAGCGAGATTCACAGTGTAACCATTTAGGTAAGTGTTATTAGATGATGTCATTGCACTAATGAGAGGTGTTGCCTTCACATCATAAAGTCCTGTCCAGTGTCCATTTTTCCCCTCCAGTGATACAACTGAGCCCTGATGAAAACGGATAATTACACCTTCTGCTGACACTTCTGATGCCAGATGGAAAAGCAAAGAGCATTTTTCCTGCATATATCAGCTGAAATTCTAGAGTGAAATTAATTAAAGAGGAGAAAGCAAAAAGAGTCATTGATCTTTTTCCAGTAGAAAACATAGAGCAGTTTCTTCATTTACACCACAGTAAACTGAAAGCTAGGATATAGCTAAGCTTTACCTGAACACATTTTCCATATGCAATTTGAGTAAAAGATTTCAAGCATCCCATTTACCTTCATTGGGGCAGCTTTCTAAAAATGTTTCCTCCTTCATCATCATTCTATTTCCTTTCTTGAACCTACTTTTTACACTAGGCATACCAGTCGTCTTTGCTCTGCCACTCTCCTGAATACCACACTTCATACTTGTGCTTTTTGCATATTCATGTTCTTTGCTTCTACTTCAAATGCTATTAATTCACTCCCATCTTGCAAAATTGCCCTGAAGATTTAGCTACCCAGAAACAAAAATCTCTTTGCTCATTGTTACCCTTGTGATGACAATAATGAAACACAAAGGCAATTTCACTTGCTTGTCAAAATGTGTCTCACCGCAGGCAAGCAGAATTTTATAAATTTTGTTTATTTGTCCCGCAAGGAAGGTATCCTAGTTCTGTCATGTCACATGGCATTTCTAGCCACAGGCACCATTTTTACAATCTGTAGGCTCACAGACATAACATGTCTTAAACAGTGTTAAGAGAGCCTGGAATGAAGTCGCGCTTGCATCCAAGTCTGCAGTCAGGGGTTGGGTGAGGGTGTGGGGAACCCAGACGAAGGCAAACAAGCAGCTTTTAAGAATTTAGAGCATTGGTTTGTGTGATTATAATAATGAAAGATGTTGCAAATGAGTAGTTAGAACATTTAAAGAATCACTGTCAAAGTCATTGGCAAAATACAGGCTTTAATACGAATTTATGAGAGTGCAACTTTAATAGAGTTAAATGGCAAGGTTCGTTCTATTACTTACTACATAGATGAAGCATACATAAGTAAATTGGACTAGAAGCAGTTTGGAATAATTTACGCAGAGACTGGGGATGCAAGAGGGTTAGAGCACAGAGTATATGGATACCAGAAAAGGGTGCAAAAGCACCTAATCATTGACTAATTTAACATTTTAAGAAGTGATTCAATAGGATTTGCTACAGTTATAACAATGAGTTAATTCTAAACTCAAAATAACAACATTCATACCATAATCAATTCACTTGCACGCATACAGGGAAAGAAATATACACATCTATATCTATGTGGGTAAAGGTCCTTATCAAAAATTCCCCTTAAACTCAGTGAAATATTTATATCAAATCCCTTAGCATTTCTCAACAGGCATGGGCTGGCCCTGAAGCAGTGTGTGTGTGTGGAATCCGCCTAGACCTCATCATCAGCGACGATGTTTCAACTATTGCAAACTTGAGGGTTTGTGAGCTCCAAGAGGCATCCCACTCAAAGGGAGTTGCTGGTGCAGCCCACTGCTTTCCAGGACAGCTCAAACTCTGGGAGGCCTCACTTAGCACTGCTGTTTATAGGGTCGCAAGATGATTTTTCCCAAAAAATCCAGTAACAATAGTACTGTTGCACTCAGGCTATGATTAATTTTTTTCACAAGGTCTCCTAACAATGGTACCATTTCACTTGGGCTACAATTCAGGTAAACTACTTACCAAGGCTAACACGAATAACTGCTTATCCTTTGTTCTTCACCTTGGTTGGGCAGCTGATGTTTCTGGTATGGTCAGAATTGTTCCTACCTTTACCATGCAAGAGCACCCAGTATGGTCAGGGATGCTTCCCCACCCTACTGGTACAGTTAAGGGGCACTTCATCGCTCAGCTGGTTCAACCAAGGCTTGTCAGAAGTTGCTGAGATCATAGATCAGGCCTGAGGAGGAGGTGAGGGAGGAGGATGCACCACCACAACAGATTACCTTCAAAATTTTCAGCTTTTATAAACACCCAAAAATGCAGTCTCTTGTAGAAAAAGACATGCTGACTCTCTGAGTCATCTGAGTCAAGGTTTGTTTTAGGGGAAAACTAGAAATCCAGTATAATGTTATGTAAATCAAAAGCTCAGTAGCTCTTGAAACAAAGGCAACTCTTGAAGGGAACAATATACTGACTGGCTCGTTTTACCAGTACCTCAGGCTGACCCCACACATGTAAAACTTTCTTTCATAAAAGTGCCTTTGTAACTCTTGAAGACAGTCCACACAGTTAGCACTAGATGAAAGAGGGGTAGCCATGGAACCTCTGCTCACAATGATGCAACCTTCCCTTTACCATGTAAACACACAGCTGCCCACAACTCTCTCCCTTTGTTTTATATCTACTGACTACAACACAGAAGGACCACCTAAGTCACTTGACTCCCATGTAGTATGCCACAGAGGCCTCTTTTGATGAGTTTCTAGGTATTTAAAAGATGTTTTTTCATGGGCATTTTAGTTTACTTGGATTAAAGCACTATTATTAAAGCATTTCTTTTTACTGTCTGGTTTATTATTTCCCCTTAGTTTCAATTTCTATTATTCTTTTCCCTGCAGAAGATCTTTCAGAGCAGCTGATTAAGAGCTGTGACCTCAAAAAAATCCCAAGAAAAGGTAAAACCATCCTAGTTTCCCAAAACGCTGAACAGGAGCAAAAAAAGCCAAGGAGAAAAGATACACCAGCTTTGCACACTCCACCACCTCTAACAGGTAAGCAATAAATCTCTTGACTTTGAAATCCCAATTCAGCTGTGGGAACTGAATCTGAGCAAAGTCCATAGACCCCTCATTCAGTTATGTCCCCTTGGATACTGACAGAAACACAGCTCCATGCATGTGCACCTTGGACAGCAGGTGAACACAGTCTGACTTCCTCAAAGGCATCCTCTGTTAGTTGAAGAGTTTGTTCACAGATCTGGGAATACCAAGGTGAGTGGGTGTATGCTCTGGAAAACGTGCTCCCTTGGAGCTTGTAGTTTTGCTGCTAAATGATGCTACATTTTTGTGGTAAATGATATGCTGAGCCATGCTCGATGTCCCAGTTTGATATGGTCCAAAATCAATATGGATCCAGTTCAGCCCCTGCACTTTCTCTTGAAACTAAATCAGGACGGTATCTACATTCGATACTGTACTGATGGAAGCCTTTTCAACCTAAGGTGACTGAAGACCCATACTAAGACCTTAAACCATCTTGTCCGGGAGCTGCTTTATGCTGATGACGCTGCCCTTGTTGCACACACAGAAGCAGCCCTGCAGCATTTTAACATCCTGCTTCACAGGTGCTGCTGAGCTCTTTGGGCTGGAAGTCAGCTTAAAGAAGACAGAAGTTCTCTATCAACCCGCACCTCAGGAAGTCTTCCATCATCCCCACATCACCATTGGCCAATCAGAGCTCAAATCAGTCCAGCAGTTTAATTACCTAGGTAGCCTCATCTCCTCGGACGGTAAGATTGATGGAGAGATAGACAACAGGTTAGCGAAGGCATATAGTGCCTTTGGAAAGCTTCATAAAAGAGTTTGGCGAAATAAACACTTGAAGAAAAGTACAAAGATCAGTGTTTACAGAGCCACTGTGCTGTCTACTCTCCTATATGGATCCGAATCATGGGTCATCTACCGCCACCACCTCCGGCTCCTAGAACACTGCCTCCGTACAATCCTAAACATCCACTGGTCAGATTATGTAACCAATACATCTCTTCTAGAACAGGCAGCAGCTACGAGTATTGAGGCCATGTTGCTGAGAACACAGCTGCGTTGGGCAGGACACGTCTCAAGGATGAAGGACTGCTGCTTCCCTAAGATCTTGCTTTATGGTGAACTTGCCACCGGCTGCTGCACGAGAGGAGCCCCGAAGAGAAGATACAAGGACTCCCTGAAGCAACATCTCAGCCTTGGCCATATTGATCAACATAACCGGTCTACTCTGGCCTCCAGTCGAGAGGCCTGGAGACACACTATCTATAACGCTGCTGATGCCTTCGAGAAAGCTCGCAGGATCACTCTCGAGGAGAAAAGACAACGCAGAAAGAATCGTGTCCTGCAGAATTTACCACCTAAGGAGTCTTTCTGCTGTGCCTTTTGCAACCGGACATGCCTGTCTCGTATTGGCCTTTTTAGCCACCAGCGCGCTTGTAACAAACGTGGGTAGAGCCCTCCCCAAATCTTCGTTCACGAAGCCTAGCCATGAATATCCAGTGCTCAGAGGGAGACTGAACAGAGATGAGGCTGGCAGTAGACCAAAGAAGCTCACAAGCCACCTTCAGGATTTCCTGCTTCATCCAGGATTTTCTCCTAGAAATCACAGGGCTCATATGTTTATGGGGACTCTGGCAAAGGGTGGGTGTTTCAGGAAGCCAGAAATCACCACAGCAACAAAGGCGCTCCTTGTAGGATGCTTCCTGCTGCGGCATATCTACAGACGTTTGGGAGTCATCCTGGGGAAAGGAAGAATAAGCAGGAGACCATCAGTGAAACCTGACGATCTTCCAAGAACAGCAGTGGGAATAAATGTTTGTCACTCTCTGCTAACAAGCACTCCTTGTGCTCTCCAGGGAGAGAGCTGTCCTCTTATATCATCGAGTTGTTCTTCCCATGCTGCACATACACAGAGGAGTGTTGCGGGTGGGAGTGGAAGGCTTAGACAAAATGTATTAAAAAAAAACCCTGCCATCACGAGGTGCAGAGTCATTCAGGTGCCCTGAGTCACAAGGTGCAGAAAGGACTACCTTGCTTTCTAAACTCCTTCTCAGAGAGGAGTCTAAATGCACCTGAATCCAATTAGCTGCAGATTACGTCAACAATTTAAATGTAAGGAATTACAAAGGTGTGATTGAACCACTTTTGTCCCACAGGTTTAATGATTGGCAAAATGAGAATATTTATTAAAATGAATAATTTATTATTACAAATGATCAGACAAAAGATCTTAATCAGAATTATTTACTACACAATATAAACACTAAAACTACTAGTAGTATACTATAAGACAGGATAGTGCACTATATCAAAGCAATTATTGAAGCAATTTTATTAAAGCTAGAAAAAAGAAATAATTATTAAGTAGAGATTTGATGTAAATCATCCATACCAATTCTTGTAGGGAGATCTCTTTCAGCCTCTCCTCCCAAGAGAGGAATCTCCGCACATAAATCCCAAGAAGGGTTATGTTAGAAGAACCTGACGGTATGAAAGGGAACTAGAGTTTTATAATATAAGGCAACTGACTGCTAGTTAAAAATTTACAGGCCAGATACCACCTTATCTATCATATCCAAATTCAAAAAGCAGGATCTGTGTTTGAAGTTTGGTGAACCAGGCTGGTGTTGCGTTCCAGATTAAGCTATAAACTGCCCAGAGCAGTTACATTTTTTATTTAAGACTTTTTAAAAGCATTTTGGTTCGTTATAACCTCTAATTAGCATCTGGAGAAAGAGTCACACACTTCTCTAAGAGATATTCTTTTTAATTTAGTGAGAAAAATAAGATATTTTGGAAAAAAGTTTTTACAGGATTAAAATACAAACAAGAAAAAAGCCTTTCACTAAATCATTCAGCACAAAGACCCATTCCACAGGAAACACCCACTAAAACAATCCATATACCAGCTTTAGTAAAACACAGTTCATTGGTTTTAAGTTATCCATAAGAGAAGGAAAGAAGTAAAAGAAAATAGATTAAAAGGGGTAAAGAAAGAGAGAAGAAAGAGAGAAGGAGAGAGAGGAAAGGAAAAAAAGTGGTTACCAACAAGATCCGATGATTCATATGGTTTCGGCTGGAGAGGGAGAAGAGAGAAGAGGAAAGACTGCATGGAGTCTTGTATATTTATAGAGTTCAATTTTCCCTCCCAGGCAGGATATCCAGTCAGTGCCTTCCAGGCCAGAGTGAGTTGTGCTGTAGTCAGTCACAGGCTGCAGGGGTGTGGTGTGGGTGGGCTACCAGGCAGGTTGGACTTGACTGACAGCCTGGCTGCAGGGCGTTCAGCTCTGCCATGTGCTCTGCATGGGCAGCAGGCCTTGCCTTCCAGCTCTGCCCTGTGCCCTCAGCAGGCCTTATGTGCAGGCCTTACTATGTTCCTGCAGGTCTAGGCCCAGCCCTTCCCCACACACACACACACACACACTGACAGTGAGTTGGTTCCAACCCATATCAATAATTCAGTGAGATTCGGATCCAGGGTCTGACAGCTGGTTTTAGCATACTTGAACACCAAAAACATTACCATGGCACCACCAGCAACTCATCACAGACAGCTTGCATGAGAGCTTGCATTGTATGCATTCTCTGATTGGATTCCAGGCCTTACCGGAGTAGTCCCTCCTGCCACAGAGAGTTAGCCAGTAACTACCTGTGTGGTTCCCTGTATTTATGCAACAATTCGTCAAGTCAAAAACAAGCAGCTGTGATTTTCCAGTATTTGTAATACAGATATTGAATTTGACTCTGTTCAGTTTTCACATGTATCTTCCATCAGCAATTCTCTTTTAGGGAAGAGTGGCTCAGAGGCTGAAGAGCTGCATTTTGTGCCTGCAACTACCATACCATAAAGAAACATTGTTTCACTAGACAAAATAAGCCATTTCTCTGCAATCCCATCGTTCCCAACTAGAGGCTTGAGCATCTGTGTGATTAAGCTACTTTGACAAGATGTCTAAGGTTCTGGAATAGAAATCTTTACCATGATTTCTGATGGGCTGCTGTTTAGTGCATTAATACAATCAGAAGCCAGCCAGCCTGATAGCTTCATTGTCTACAGCCTATAATTAACTTGGAAGAAATGTAGGGTAGGTATGCCATGCAGCAGATCATGCACTCATGCAGCCTTACATCAGAGTAGTCATTGGGAGAAGTACATAGGTGTTTCTTCAATGTGAACTAGGATAAAGTGGCATTTTTATTTTTTTTCCTTGCTTACAGGCATACTTTCAGACTTTTCTGATAATATGCTGAAAAGGTATGGTATCACAGAGAAGCCACAGAGAGAGAGAGTGAGTCCAGTCTCTCAGATCACTGAACTGGAGCAGAAAAAGCCCAGAAGAAAAGATACACCTGCAGTACACATCCCACCTTTGATAATAGGTAAGAAACCTAGGTGAAGGGTCCTCCAAAGAGGAAGCAAAAAGTGGCTAGTGTCAGAGGAATGCCTGGGAGGAGGTTGCTCTCTGCCCAGTGTACTTAGCTGCTCTTAATCAACAGGACCTTTTTGGTCTAATAACAGTGGTGGCTCATGAAAAGTCTTTTACATATCCCCTGTTAATGCTCTGGGGACAGAAAGGAAGGGAAGTAAGAGAAAATATTTGGTCACTTGATTATCTTTTGCAAACTGTAATCCTACTTTTCTGACAGACCAACTAATGCCCTGCTTTTCAAACCTGAGCACCTGTAAATTTTTAGGTCACCAGCACTAAAATGCCTCAAACAACCTAAAGCAAAGCTGTACTGATTAACCTCCTCTTCACTCCACAGTTCCTGATATGCACTGAGAAAATCAAGTTGTGATGAACTTCTCATTAACAGCACCTTAAAGACAGTTCTGTGCTTCTGGCATAACGTGCAATACACACACGCTTACATAAGATGCTCCTAGGGCAGGGAAGGGAAAGGAAGGGAAGGTGAAAGAAAAGTGGTGACCTTCAAATGTGTGACAAAATTCAAACTCTGTGCATTTGTTATGGGAAAATGAGACAAACTAATGCAATTTTCAGTTGTTTTCAATTCTACATCCAATGACACTTTCTTGCCTACTCGTGAAGCCACCTTCCAGCACGCAACACGGATTCAAAGCGGCCTGCTAGATGCTGCCTCTCCATGCAAAGATTTTTCAGATCCTGTATTTGGGTCTGTTTTCCAGTGATCGGCAAACTTGTGCCCATATCAGGGGCAAACTAACTTATGTGTTTGAATGCTTCAATTTCATTCCCTTCCTATTCTAAGGATGCATATTTTCTTTTCAAGATACATATCAACATACATCATTCTGCTTGTTGAAATTCATCAGTGATGGCTCCATGACTTGCTATGAGAAAGTGACTAAATTGTGGTTGAAGGCTGGTCCACTCACTTACTTTCATAGTTATTCCATCAGGTAGCAGACAGAGCACAAACAAACTGAACTCTTTGGAACTGATGTGCAAAATGAAATCTGAATCATAGACTTGGAGATCTGAGAAGCCCCAGCAGGGCTATGTTGCTAAACAAATATAGACAGGCCTTTCTGTCCTGTCCCCCTGTTATTGGAATTTTTTCATTAAGCAGCACTCTCAGTGCTACATGGCCTCGTGACCTGCTAATGAAAATTGTCCCTATTTCTAACACTTCCCCTTCATATCCTCTGCAAACCACTTCTAGGTGCCGATTCAAGGAGCTCCTCTTAATTGTAGTAAAAGAACTTAATTACTAGAGTATCTTTTTGAACAGCTGTCTCCACACAAATACTGTGTTGTAAATGCAGTTAAAATGGCAGATGTGTTATCCCTCTCCATTTTTACCAGCGGTTATAAGCCTTTCTAGGACAGTCACTCTCCTTCATGGGTGGCCAGGGAGATTTTCTATCACAAGTCAAATGGACCATACAGGGTGATGAAAATCAGTGTATCTACTGGATGGTATGTGGTCCAAATGAGAAGCAGAATCAGTCTTACACCTTACAAACACCCAATCCAATTGGGAAATGCAGGTACAGAAAGGGGGCTGCTAAATTAGTTATCTGAATTCTCCTCCACAAGGGTTAAGCTTCTAAATGTATTCAGCCTTCAAACTTCTACTGAAGTGGCACATGTAGCATTGTGCCATGTGCATACAAATAAACCATGAGCAGAAGTCTCCTTCAGTGGCCAGCTCGCCTTCAGTCAGCCAACACTTTTTCTGAAGGGATTAGACTAGAACACAAAATAGAATCACAATTCCAGTGGTCTTTTTTTCTGTCTCACCTAAGAGAAAATGGCTTGAATCTGATCTAAGCCTGTAGTCAGCTCTGGAACACTCTATTTTCATCCACACTTAGCAATATATTCCACTAACTGAAGTATTTCTGAGAGCTCTTCAGGCCTGTGGGTTTGAGATACAATATAAATACATGCCTAAATATGGGAAGACAGTTCCTGAAATGTGGCTGCTTAGGGTTTCTTAATCAGATCAGAGGTAACTAGCAAAACCACAGTTTCAAACCCTTATTCATTCTTATACCCTAGAAAACCAGTTAAGGTAGCTCCTTTAGGATAACATCACAACCCCACCAAAAACCTCTGGGTAACATGAGAAGCATAGAAGTTTAATGTCACCTCTTGCCTCTCCAGCAGGAGTTGTCCGTAGGTAGTCTGTAGACAGGCTGGTTTTCTGATTTATAGCCAGGAGGAGTGGCTTAGATCTAGGTGGCACCTGGCAAATAGTTGATTTAAGCCAACTTCTTCTGCCTATGTTTGAGCTTCCTAACAGAAACTCTTATGTCTCTGTGAGCCTTTATGGTTCTAGTGTCCAGCTAAAAATTGCAAGTAGTTACAAGTTCTGTTGGGAAATTATGACTACATTGTATTTACCTTCTCATTTCTTCAGTCAGATCCCTTGGCAGATATTAACAGAACAACCTACCAATCCTTAAAATAGATCTGCAGGATGAGTTGCATTTCATAATACCCACAGCTGGGAAAACAGAGGCAGAAAGGCTAAGGGATTTATTTAATCAGTAAACAGAGAAAGACTAACTTACAAATGTTCCCCAAATCAAATGACCTTCTCACATCCTTCTGGTTCACACCCAGAACTTCTGAACTGCATTCAGTAAAGCACATTTTCTCCACAAGTGATCAGTGGCATTGTATCAAAGAAAAAAATCCTTTCCCAGTGTTATAGAAATAACTACAGCTTTGACATGCTATTTGTATACCCTTTCCACTGTTTTGCATTAAAAGGCTGATTTGTCCTTGCAATTGTGAGTGGTCCATAGAAAGTTAATAACCTGCATCTCTGGGCTACATCCGCCTCTGAGCTCTGAATCATGAACTCTATTGGAAACCTTTGGATTTTGTCAGTCACCAAAGTGATTAATTGGTAATGATCTTGCTATTGATTGTGGTGAGCGTCTGTGCTACTAGAGCTGGGACTTCTGCTTAGGTGTTACCTTTCAGCTGTCTCTAGCATCTGCTAAAAGGACTAGTTTATGTGCTATAACTAGGCCATCAGAATTACATAAACACATTTTTCCTTCATCACTTCATCATTTAAATAAGAGAGTGGACATGATCCATTTATTTAGTGTTCATATCTGATCTCTTATTCCTGATTTTACCCAAAAAGCAGATTAGCTCTCCTCAAATGATCCATTCTAGCTACACATTTTAAGCATGTTTTAATTATGTTTTCCTTGTTCCTCAAATGCTCCATGATGTAAAAAAACAACAACATAAACCCTCCACTCCCTCTTAAAAGACAAAACCCAAACCCCAAAGACAACAGTAAAAGAAATTTGTCTATATTTGCCTAAGTTGTCTATAGGAATAGAAGTCTGTGTGGGGCACATTTACATCCATCTCCATAAAATGTCATCATTCATTGCAGTTAACAATGGTGGTTACTCAATTGCTGCATGAACAAATAAAGTCCTTTTTGTTTCAAATTAACATTTATTTATGCCTTTCAGTTTATTTCATAGTGCTAGTTCACAAGAACTGCATATAAATGAAGAGGAGTTAACTTAAATGAAAGGCAGTATAGGTTGATATTTTCATTAATTCATCGCCCCTGAAAAGATTCTGAAGTTAAAGAAAATCTACCTCTGTGGTATTGCCCTATTTTCAGACCTTGGCAAGACTGAAAGCCTTCTCTGTAAAAGAGTTTTTGATGCAGAAAGAAGCAAAACAGGTTGCTTTGACAGAACAGCTCAGCTTGTATCAAACATCAGGAGACCAAATTTGGGAGAGATTTCATTGGTCTCAACACAATGATCTCTCTCATCCTGTTTGTAGACTATGTCAACATCCACACCAAGGAATGTGGGTATAAAATTCATCACACAAGTCACTTGTTTTTTACTGGAAACAGGCAAATCCAGCACAATATGTTAAAATAGAGTTCAAGAACATTTTGTACCTAATGCATTTTTTCTCACTTCATTCTTATTTATTTTCTAAATGAAGAGAGCATTTACAGTATTTTTGATATCTTGGTATCACACAAAAGCCTCAAGACCAGGGCTGGACTTACCAGTTCAAGTATAAGAGAGAAAAAGAAACAGAAGGGAGGAGAGACAGAGATTTGTGGAAGGTATAATCTACAACCCAAGTCTGTTTTCACATTGTTCAGTAGCTTTTGCAATTTATTGATACTATATAACTTCAGTGGAGATGGCACTTGTCATGTTGGTGTTCTAACCTTTGTCTCTTTTGTCATCTGCACTTGAAAAATCTCAGTAATATGGCTATATACTTAGAGGAAACATATACATGTTCACACAAGCTAGTTGAGTCACAAAGATTAATCACAGCATTTACTTAATCAGGCAAGCTCTTTCCCTTATTTAGCTCCCCACACCCTTTTAACAAACAGGTTCCCAAATGAAACTTCAGTACCTCTTTTCACAGATAGGAAAAATATGCTGGATTTAAGAGTGTCTAATAATTTTAGCTAAAAATGCAGGGATTCAATTCTAGTTCACTGAATATCAGGAGACTGATGTGCTGAAAATAAATGAGGAGTAACTCCCACGATATTGGAAAACTATGTTAGGATCAAGAAGTAAGAGAAGACTGAAAAATTCTTTTTTGCCTGGTATTGTCTAAAAGGTAGTATGTTAAATCAACTCCTTTTTTTTTCTTCTTCTTTTTTTTTTTTGTGTGTGTCCTGTTTTTAAGGCACTAAGCTGTTTACAGAAGAACAAACAGTGATTATGGAAGACGAAGAAAAGGATGGCGACACAATCCACAGTTAAGATTACAGTGATATTTCCAATAATGCAGTGTAAATAATTCTGGGTCATTCAAAGTGGCAGCACATAGAAAAGAAAGTTCTTTCATTTTTATAAATATTAATTTTCTCAAGCATGCACTTGATTTTAAACTATCATCAAGTGTTTATCTGCATCTTATGAATTCCCAGCAAGCATCATAGGAGATGATGACAGAAATTTCACTGACACGTGGGGTTTGAATGATTCTGTTAGTTTACTACAAGTGGCTTCCCAGCATTTCTGTAAATTAGGAATCCATCTCAGAACAGATCTAGCTTTGTGCAAAGTAGTAATAAAGGTTAATACAAAGGACAGCACTCATGTACCTGGCACTAGATACCAGAGCAGTAAAACATCAACTAATGATTCAAATCGCATTTTTCTCCTGACACTTTACCTAATTTGTCCAGTTTTCCTCTTCTGGAATAACACTGACCACAGTGAAAATTCCCATGTGCAAAGCTGATGCGACAGATGGAGAAGGTGTGAGAGCAGGAGCCAGACCCTGAAACTGAAAGCAAAAATTTCTTCTGCCTGTATCTGCTCATGACTTGTGTTTGTGAGGAGGAAAAGAGAGATTCACTGTAGAATGAAAATTTACATCTAAGGGCTGTCAGCATTGACACATCAGGATGGAGGGAAGAGCTCTCAGAAGAGAAACATCAGGGAAGTGCAATGCTTGCCTGTTACATCAGTGTAGACAATTGCCTCCACTGGTCAGTGAAAGATAAAATAGTCAGATAGTTGATCCATTTGCTCCAAATAATTTCTTTTGACATCTGCTTTTTAAATTGAGTTCTAGGTCAGTTAGGAGAGGTGGAAAAGATTGAAAATCTTTTGGAAAGTGGAAAGTGACAATTGAGTAATAGGAATAGTGTTACTCAATGGCATACGCATACTGCAAGGTGGAACAGCACCATGTGATTTTTTTTATTAGTTTACCTCATTGATTCAATTGTTTTCACAGTGAGCTACAGCCTGGTAGAATGGCCAGTTTGTGCTTACCTTAATAGCTCTAGGATAGATAGAGTAGCACTGCCAGCTGGGCCCTTAGGGACCTGAGCAGAGAGATTGAAGATCGTAGAATCATAGAATCAACCAGGTTGGAAAAGACCTCTGAGATCATCAAGTCTAACTCTTGATCCAACACTGCCATGGTTACTAGACCATGGCACTAAGTGCCACATCCAGTCTCATCTTAAAAACCTCCAGGGACGGTGAATCCACCACCTCCCTGGGCAGCCCATTCCAATGCCTGATTACCCTCTCTGTAAAAAATTTCTTCCTAATATCCAACCTAAACCTCCCCTGGCAGAGCTTAAGACCGTAAATCATCTAGCCTGGCAGACTGAATTCAGTTATCTTTTTAACTCTCTTAGGCAAACAGCTGAGGACCACACTAGTTTGGACTTCATTTGCCACAGTGACTGACCCAGCATCTTTATGAGAATGCAGTCTATTCACAAATATCTAGCTTCAAGATGTAATCAACAAGCTTACAATAAATAATTGCATATTAAAGTATACAAGAGGACTGCTATATTATTAATGGAATGCCTGATAACTAGGAGGTGTACTTGTTTTTATCCTGTTAACCTATCAGTGATATAATATTTAAAATATAAACAATCAATAGTTCATATAATAACAGTAACGTAAGGTACACAGTAAAGTATGTCGCAGCAAGTATGTGAAAAAAAAATACATGTGACTCAAGTCTAGCTTTACCAGTGAAGCTGGTGGATATTTTCAGTGCACAATACAGCAAGAGTGAGAGTGTGGAATCCTGAAAAGATTCAAATGAACATCAGCAATGCATTAGACATGAAAATATACATGTTTAGACATGAAGGCCCTTAACAACACAAAGCAGGAGCACAAATAGGATGTGACTGACTTCACTGCTCTGAAAAGGATTTGTTTCCAAGCCTGGGGAATTCTGACACAGCTTAATAGGGGAAAAAAACCCCAACAACAAAACAACAACAAAAAAAGTGCCCTTTAAGCCTAGCACTATATATTGTTCAGCAAAGAAGAGTTACAGTCTGAGTGACATCTCTGATGGCACACCAGCCTAATTTACCATCCCTGTATAGATCAACTCGAAGTCCAGACATAAAAATGCTGCAACACACATCATATTCTGCAATTCTTTTAAAACTGCATATTCACAACCTGGCAATTCAGCGTTTTCTGTTCTTTCACTCAGGAGCAATATAAGCAATTAAAAGTAATTTTTCACTTGATCAATTAAGTTAATAGAAGGTTTTGCAATGTTCCTGGGAAGCAGTGTGATGAATCATTTCTCTGCTTCCACAGGCTTCATTGCACTCAGTTAAAGTGTTAAATGTCACTTTGTTTGGGAATAAAATAATTTTTTTTCAAATGAGGCAGACAATTCCCCTTCCCCCAAAACAAAGCCTTTAGGTTTTGCAGAATCGCGTGTGGACTCTACAGTGGTGTGAATGTAGTTTATTGGGTTTATTTATTGTCATTCAGTCTCCATTTAAGACCAGATAGTGCTAAAACCAACAAATTGCTCTCCCCAGACAAATGATGGGAGTTGGTTTGTTCTGGGGCAGAAATGCTTTTGTATCCAGTGTCCCCAAAGGCCATTACAACAAAAATGAAAGGAAACTGAAAGCACAGACACACGCTAAGTATTTCCATAGGACTGTTAGGACTGGGATGCTGCAGACTGAAGTCACTTACCTAGTCTGCTATGTGCATTGACTGCTTTTTGTCTTGATAGCTGGCTTGCATTCAGATATTTATCTGGAATGGCATCTCACCCCAGAAGTCTGCACTGGGTGGGACAACCACTCCAAGCCCTCAGCGGGGAATGAAGTGCTTCAGTTAGTGAATAAAAGACTGCAGTCAGGAGAGCATTAATGGCTAATATTTTTGAAGTGAATTCTCAATTAGCGTCTACCTAGAAACTAAGACACAGGTCTCCATTTACAATAAAATTGAGACTAAGGGATTTAATGGCCTTACGCTTTAACAACTTTCAACTAAGGATTACAGAAAGCCCATCACCCATTTGAAGGGGTTGTGATGAGCATTTTTGTAGTGCTAAATATGAGATTCATAGGGTATGTGGAACAAATTCAAAGCAACATTCATGATGCTATTGTAAACTCACACTATATTCATAGATAAAGCAGCATTTGCATGCACTGAGTTTAGCAAAACTTACACTGAATTTATGTCTGGTTGAAATTTTGTCTTAGTGGTTAGTAAATTGATAATTGTATAATGCTTTGACCACATAAATTAATTGATATGTTTAGATATCATAACAGATCATCTTCCTGCATGTTCTATGCCATCCCTACCTTTTGAGATTACACTTTTTACACATGACCTTACAGTATTCTTGTATGCAGAGAGACTGAACAGCAATACCAGCTACAAGCAAAAATCAAAATTGCATGTCAGTGAAGCACATTAGAAATTTTGGCTTCTCACTTGTATTTAGATAAGCTAATAAACAGATATTACTCTGTTCCTCGCATCCCTCCCAAAAAGCCATGGGCCTTTTAAAGCGAGGTAGTGCAAACAGAAATACCAATATTTTGGCAATGTAGATCCAGAAATACAATGAGTGAACATTTAAAGCCTGTTTCTACCCTGTGATACTGGCTTCTGGTCCTGCATGAGGAACCCATGTGGTCTGTCAGATCCAGGAGCTGTAAAGGGAAGCTTAATCCATCCTTATTCCTGACATCCTGAAAAATCCTGAAAAGACACAGACTGGACAGAGAGACAAGTGACTGCTAAATTATTATGCACATTCTAGAAATAAAAGAACTGCATTTGATGGAGCATTTGTGCTTATTCTTTCAGCTGCAATGATCTTCTAAACGGCAACATGTGTATATATGACTGTGTGAGACACATTACAGTGAGCTTTGGATTTTTCCAAGCTGTCAATTTTTTTCTGACCTTCAAAGAAGATTTTAGGCCCCCAGGTGGTCTTAGGGTCTGAAACAAAGTTAAACCTGTCTCAGGTTTGTTTTTCTGTATTCTGTTTAGCCTGGAGAAGAGAAAGCTTAAAGGGAACTCCTCAATGCATATAATAATGCACGTAAATGTCTGATGGGGAGGAATAAAGAGGGAGCCAGGCTCTTCCCGTTGGTATCCACTGACAGGACAAGAGGTAGTGGGCACAAACTGAAATACATGGACCACTACTTACAAGTAAGAAAACATGTTTTTGCTACTGAGCACTGTCACAGATAGTCCAGAGAGGTTGCAGACTCTCCATCCTTAGATATTTTCAAAACCAAACTGGACACAGCCCTGAGTAACCTGCCTCAGTGGAGCTTACTTGAACTAGGCATCTCCAGAGGCATTGATCATGCTTCAGTCATTCTGTGACTATAGCCCAGGATCCATACCAAGGGGGCTTTTTAGTGATGCTTAGCACATCTGTGAGAGATCAGCAGAAAGGTTTGGAGTAAAGGGAGTGATTGTCAGCTGAGTTAAAAATTCACAGAAAGTTCACAATAAATATAATTTAGTCTTGAAACCACGACAATGGGGTGGAGCAATGAGGAGTCCCGAGGAAAAACACAAAATATAAGGAATCAAGGAATAAGTACTCCAGAGTCTTTCTGTGCCTCACTCACTGTGGATTTTAACATTCATATTTTAATTCAGACTTTAATCCTTTCCTAAAAAAACAAACAAAGAACTCCTCCTCAAATAACAGAGCGAGAAACTTTTCTGCTGTAGTAAAGTGATCCAGTGATTAGAGCAAAGACTCTGTTCATGAATGGACTGTAGAGAAAAAAAAAGATTAAATTTGCAAGTGTTGATAGTTGTAATGAGTTCATGATAACAAATTTAAATGTCATCATAGATCTAAGATCATAAAATTTGTCTAGACAGACAGACTTATTTCTATGCTGGGAGCAAGTTGTTATCGCCAAAATCATAAATACAGAAAAAGGTTAAATGCATTTCAAAGCTGGTCCTCCCCCAGATAACACAGATTTCATTTCTGGAAAATTTTCCTTTGTCGTACACTAGATGTCAGGGCTGGACTGAGAGGATAAGTCCATCGACTCCACTACACATCTCTATGCATAAGGCTGGATGCCATCAACACAACTAAGTGCTAAACTTGGGAATTATTTCTGTAAAACATCCAATTTTTACTAAGAACAGTCTGCAACAACATCCTCTCTCCCCCACTTTGCAGTATTTCATTTCAGCCAAAAGCCCCAGGCTTCGGAAGAGGAAAGAGACATTCTGAGATATCTTTCCAACACCAATGAGTATCTGGCAGCATTCTTCACCTTCCCTGGGTCCAGAAAAAAAAAACAACCCTCTAAACCACTTGGGTGAACAGTCACTTCTAGAGGACATTCTAATGGACAGCAGTTAGATACAGAATGGATTTAGCTGGAGAAAAATGAGATCAAAGAGGAAACTGATCAGAACTCCATTAAAGTTTAGGAACCATATACACTCCACATGACACACGAAGCTGAGTGGTACAGTTTGATGCTCCTGAAGTACAGGATTGCCATCCAGAGAGACCTGGAGAAGTTTGAAAAGTGGGCTCATGTGAACTTCATGACACTCAACAAGACAAAGTGCAAGGTACTACACGTGGGTCGAGGCAACCCCCAGTATCAGGAGTCTGGGGGATGAATAGATCAACAGCAGCCCTGGGGAGAGGGACTTGGGGGTGCTGGTGGATGAGAGGCTGGACATGAGCCAGAAATGTGTGACTGCAGCCCAGAAAGCCAACCATATCCTGGGCTGCATCCAAAGCAGCATGGCCAGTAGGTCGGGGGAGGTGATTTTGCCCCACTACTCTGCTCTTGTGTAACCTCACCTGGAGTGCTGCTTCCAGCTCTGGGTTCCTCAGCACAGGAAAGACACAAACCTGTTAGAACAGGTCCAGAGGAGGGCCACAAAGATGCTTAGAGGGCTGGAGCACCACCTCCTATGAAGACAGGCTGAGAGAGTTGAGGTTGTTCATCCTGGAGTAGAGAAGGCTCCAAGACGATCTTATAGCACCTTCCAGTGTCTGAAGTAGGCCTACAAGAAAGCTGAAGGGGGTCTTTTTGCAAAGGCACTGACAGGATAAGGGTCAGTGGCTTTAAACTGAAAGGGTAGGTTTAGACTGAATATTAGGAAGAAATTCTTTACTTTGAGAATTGTGAGGCACTGGAACAGGTTGTCCAGGGAGGCTGTGGATCTCCATCCCTGAAAGTGTTCAAGGCCAGGCTGGATGGGGCACTGGCCATGTGGAAGATGTCAAAGGGGTTGGAATGAGATGATATTTAAGGTCCCTTCCAACCCAAATCATTCTACGACTCCATGATGACACCCCAGGTAGGTAATTTCATTACCCTGTACTTTGACTACATACCAGTACATTCAAAATGACAACTTACCTCTGCTTTAAGGCAAAAGAGAGAGTGTGGACCAGGAGAGCAAAGACAGAAATCAATCCCTTTGTGAGATGCTTGTGACAGAAAAATAATAACCCAAATAAACTTTAGATAATAATGAAAGGCAAAAAACCAAAAGATTCCTCTTTCAACTTCTACAGGTGACCTACTGCTGTCCACTTGTCCAGAGAACAGTCAGATTCTCTGTTAGGTAAAGTGCCCTAAAGGGAAGGAAATGACACAAAAGTAATTTTGCACATATTCATATATATACATGGATGTAATATATGCAGTATACAGCCAATTTGTGTAAAATATCTTAGGGTATTCTACAAGCAAAATACAGTTCTCAGAAAATTCCTAGAGATAAATACATTTCATAAGCAGGAGGCTTTAAAGTGCATTCCTTTTCACATTTAGTTTAGGCAATGACCCAGCCCCGCTGCTGGAGTCACAAGTGCTGGTGGTGGTGAAGGTCAATATCACAAACATGAAGCACAGGGTACAACAGATGAAAATAACTGAAACATGGTGACATCAGAGTACTCGGGCAGTGAAGATGTCTAACAAAACACTGTGAAAAGGTGTGAGACCTTGAGGCGAGTGTGCCTGAAATTGCAGTGGAGGGTATCTATAACACTGGAAATACACCTTGGCTTTTTTCATTCAACAACCAGCCATGATTTCAATGTCCCGCAGCAATGGTGCATACACCAGCTGGTGCAGTTTTGGTGTTAGACATGATTACAAACTTGTAGTGTATAACAATGCAAATTCACAGTAAGCAAATTTTTACAAATATAAATAATAGAATTGGTAGGTAGTGGGGATACTCATAACAGGAATACTTATGACAGAGAGTGTTCAGCCAAGTTTTTGTACAAGAAATTTTGCTTCACAAACCTCGACACTCCTTGAAGGAGCCAATATGCTTTGCTGTTCTTCATTTTGACAAGGGCTTGACCCAAAGACTGTCAAAGCTACTGAGCTGTCATGGATTGAAAGAAGTTTGCAGCATATGATCTTAAGATAGGTAAACAACTAGTTAACAATGGGGGAAAAATAAAAATGCAGAAATAAATTAAAAATTGTTATGAAATGGTCAGGATTCATAGTAAAGGAGGACTGTTGTTTCTGCTATTCAATGTGCTTATCCAGAAGATGTGATTTGGAAAAGGTGTTGGTAGAAGAAGAAAGCAAGCAAGAAACAAATGAAGAATGTAAAGTGGAGGAGAAATAGAAAAATAAGAAGCAGTAGCTTACTTCAGTGTAATTGGCAAAACCACCAATTCAGTGTTGGTAAGTGCAGAATGAGGCATATAGGGAGAGGAAACCCCAACTCCGCAACTCTGTATGTGTGTTTCAGCTATAAATTAATTAGTATTTATTCTACAGAAACTACTGCTCAGTCCTCAAGGAGGTTCAAAAATGAAAGTACAACTTAAAAATCTATTCAGAAAAGCTTGGGAGATGAAACAGAAAGTGTCATTACACTATTTTATAGATTTCTGGTGTACCTGACACTTGAGCCACGTGCAGTGCTCGTTCTTTCCTTAGATTAAAACAAAGAAAGATATAGTTAAGAGCAGCAAGGAAGATATAAAGTATAGCAGGTTTGCCTCTGAGGAGAGTAAAAACAGGACTGGAAAGGGACAATTGAGGTAGTATGTAAACCACCAGGGGCTTCCAGAAAGAGGGCAGAGAGCTATTTGCCACTGTTTCTGAAAGTGCAAAATCTGGGGGCAAGAGCAACTTTTTCAGAAGGGCCACGTTCAACTGTGAAACTCAGAGCCATGGGACACTATGCATTAAAAGAACACGAGATCAAACTCAACTAAATTAATGCCATAGAAAACAATCAGTGTTATTTAACATTCAACAGAGTTTGAGCAAAGAACAATTTTAATGCTGTGCTATGTGTTCTTTTTCCAATGAGTGAAGAGAGAGGACTCTTTGTACTCCAGCCTTCCACCTGCATCCTCCTGATAGGTCACACTATGACAGGAGGACATTTATTCTCAGTACTGCTAGACAATACAAAATTTTCCTTTGCTGTCTGAAATAGGAGTTATTGTTTTACCTGTGGTAGGCAGAAGGTCGCATTGAGAACACCATACAACAATCTAGGAAAGCATTGGCTTAATTTGACAGGAGACAAGCCATATACAGTTACTTCTTTTAAAGTAGCAGCCCAATACTTTAGTACTAAGTGGGCATATGCTGCAATAATAAGGCTACTGAGAACATTTCTAACAAAATGTCCATTATATCGTTTAGTTAAATCATACACTTGCTTTTATTCAAAATTGCAGCTGCTGTACAATGTAGTATGGCCTGTGCAATGGTTGCACAATATCCTCCATCTGCCTGTGAGGAGCATCATTCCAGAAGATGCCTCTTTAACTCTTCTGCTATTTCCTATTCCAGCTCTGGGAAATATGTTGAATCTTCTTCATCCTTTCCCTCTCATCAAGCACTTTACATCTCACTTGACGTTCCTCTAATTTCTTGTGGAAGGCAGGGAAATAGTCTCCTGAGCTGTGAGTGGGCCTCCTGAGGTGATGCAGCTGAGGTTTGATGGCTGGTGGTGACAAAGGAAGAACAACGATGGTTACCATGCCTAGCTTTCACTCACTAGTAGATAAGAAATCAATTCCTCAGAAGCTGTGTCCATCCCATTCAGCACAGCCTGTATGCGCAAAGGAGGGTTTCTCAGCCTGAAAGCCGGCATTCTTTTGGGTTAGGAAAACATTCAGAAAAAAAAAATATAAATCATAAATATAGATGTAAAACTCTAAAATGAAACATAAGCATTTCCAAAATTGAAATTTGGGCAATTAAGCAGTTTGAAACACTGGATCTTGAAATCATGCCCTTATTCAGACATCCCAGCAGACTACATCAATACATTTGAATCCCAAGGAACATTCTCAAGGTTAGGAAACAACAGTTTAGACAGTAGCTAAAGTGCCATACGTAAATGAAGAAGCAACTTTATACTTACCTATCTAAATATATATAGCTTAACACCTCACCGTACCCAAAATATCAAGATGATTTCAAAACAATAAATCTGGATAGAGATCATGTTTCCCAGAATTCAGGAATAGGTAGATCTGATGCATTTTGTCTGATTTTCCAGCAAACTACAGGCCGTTGTGAGAGTCAGAAGTGGAATGCATATGAGTCTGACCATTCTCAACTTCTTGACTCTGTTTATTTGAATCTATGTCTTTCTTTCTTACCTCTTTACATAGGTAGACTAAAAAATTAAACATGACCATGATCAAAATGCTTTCATCTTATGCTTAGTTATTATTTGCAAACTAACCAATTCAACAATTAGTATGATAAGCATTTTAAAAGAAAAGTCATCACTCTCAGCATGAATCCTAAGTGAAAAAGATTACCCTGTGTGAGCTAGCTAACATCAAATGCTAGAACAGTCACACTCCAATCTTGTTAAGCTCCTTGAATGATTAATCATGCTCCAAAATATCTTGGGAAATAAAAAAACTACAGATTTCATAAACTTTAGAAAGATACATTCGGATTTCATCATAGTCACAATCCTTCCTGTTTTCAACTAGATTAAATTCACATTCATTAAAAGGTTGAAAAATATCCAGATGAATTACTGTTCTTTGAGGCACATTTGCTTTCCATATTTATTCCATTTTCTGTACTCAGCATAGATTCAGCCAAACCGTTATTAAATATTTTCCCTTGCTCAGTGGGGAAATGTTTATTGATACCTGGAATTTTATTTGAGTTGTTGCCAGAAGATATGATTTTGCTAATAGTTTTAAGAGGTTTATCCAGAACAGTAACATTAGTATTTATCATCTTCATACAGGAGTGGATAAAGGGGATTCATGACATTTAATGTCTTAAAACTTTAGTGACTCAAACTGACAGGCAGAAGACTTTCTGTTAGGACTCTAGAGTTCTGTTCCCAGATTGCTCACTGACTTCTCGTGTGACCTGGACTACAGCGTTCACTCCAGTTTCTCTGCATGTAAAATGGGAATAAAAATGACAGTACTTACCTCACAGGGTTTTTATATGGAGCTTCAATAGGTTATGATTCTCAGGACCTTCACACGAGCAGTGATAGGTTTTTTTGTTTTGTTTTGTTTTTCTTTTTTAATTTAGGGAAAATAATTATTTTTTAAGATCATGGCTATCATCAAGGCAATGAAAGCAGAGAATAGGTATTTGGTAGCACACTGTTGGTAGTGCCAGTGTACTACCAACAATATCAGTGTAGACTAGAATAGTTACACAAGTAGCATCATGCAGATAGACTATCTGTGTGTTATCCAGACACTAATTCAGCAAGGAAGCTAAGAATGCCTAAGCTGCTCTGTTTACTCTGACTGGCAGGATGTGCACAAGTTATAGTTTACCTAAATGAAGAAGATTTTATTTGTTGAATGTTTTCATATCATCATGCTGTTTTGGACAATCCCCCAACCCCCCGTGGGGGCAGAAAGGGCTGGTGGGCAGGAAAGGTCCCTGCAGGAGATATCACAAGAGCTTAGGAAGCATAAAACTGCTGGTGCTACCAGACCTCGCTCTTTCTGGTTCCGATAGAGGGGTGCAAATGCAGAAGCACGATCAGGTTGCTCTCTCTCGCCATGGCTCTCGGCTCTGGCAGTTTCCTCGCTGCTGACCAGGCCCTGCCATTCCCTGCAGCTTGGAGCCCCATCGATGCTCACCCCACGCTCCCTGCCGTCGCTCACCATTGATGTTGTTGCTGCCACTACCATCTCAGAGTAAGCGCTGCTTGCAGCTGCCGTTGCTGCTACCATCTCAGAGTAAGCGCTGCTTGCAGCTGCCGTTGCTGCCCGCTACTGCAGCCCATGATCACTGTTTACCCCACACTCCCTGCTGCTGCTCACCGCCATTGCTCACTCCGCACCTCTGGTGCCAGCGCTGCTCTGCACATCAGTACTCTCCCACACCCTCACTCCGCACACGACCTTCATCAGGACTGCATTGCTGTCACGGTGCCACAGTACTGAAAGATGGGTTTAAGGTGACATTTTCTTGTTATTGTTTGGGTTTGGGTTTGTTCTGTTTTGTTCTCCATTTTTATTAATACTGTTATTGATTTTTCATACTTCACTCAAACACCTTGTAATTTCAAAAATTTTCTTGATTTGGGGGGGAGGGTTTCGATTCCATTGGAGGTCCCACCTCCTGGGACATACTGTCAGTAAAACAAGACAGCAACCCACCATCTTACAAATCAGCAGCTGTGCAAATCTCAGATTTGTCTAGGGCAGCATCCACACAGTATTTCCTCTTAATCTTTCTTTGATACAACTCTTTCTTTGATTCTTTAGAGAGAGGTCAGGACTCCCACTTGACGCTTGGTATAAACACCTGGCCCCATGTCAACATCATACTTTGATTTGCACAGCAGATGAAAGAATGAATGCCAGAGCTGCTGCTTACTACACTACTGCAAATGAGAAATGAGCCTAGACTGCTGGGAAAAATCTTTCTCCCTTTTGCAGCCTTGTCAACAAAGGAGGTTTTCTGCGGTAACTATCAGAAAGATCTGCAGGACACAGGATCAGGAGAACCAAGACTGTTTCATTAGAGTCACTCAAGAAATGGTCTAAACCTGGGGAGACTCAGTCTCCTAAGAATGTTAAAGGAAATCTGTGTTTATACAAAATTCACTTTTCTCCAATGAGACATCTCAACGAAAGTCCAAAGACAGCTACTACTTGGTCAGTCCCTGTGACACTAAAGAGCTCTCCATCCTCACCTCCTGTGGAGCCAGGAACAGAATCTGTAAGAAATAGGATGCCGAGATGTTAGCAGGGGTCCAAGTGGTTTGGGGCATTCACTGGTATTCTGCCAGTCTTCCCCTCAAGGGCATGTGGCCGCTCTCAGAAGCCCTGAGATGGCTCCAGACTGGGGGAGAACAGGTCTTGGGCATATCCTGGGAGATGTGACCAGCTTGTGGGATGATGTGGAAGTGAGTTTTGCTCACATGCTCCGGGAATAGCCAATCACCAGTGCTGGGGTCAGGAAGGAACTTTACACCAGTGCAGACTGACAGTCATCGCTCAGGTTTTTTTGATTCTTCTGCAGCATTGAGCATGACGACTGGTCAGGCTCTTCCAGTCCCTTTTGGCCAGGTTGCTGCCTGCTGCTCATGCACCACAAAGATCGCCTCTCATGCCCCACATCTATACTTCTTTGTTTTTCTTCTTTTATATGGTTGTTCCTGATCCTAATTCTTGGTGTTCTCTTCAGGAAACAGGTTTGCTTGGCCTGTATTCCTTCTGCTGCTTTCTGCAGCTCTGTCAGATTGACAGACTGCAAAGGATGTTTTTTCAAACTAAACTGAGACATATCAGCCTGCTCCTGGCTACATATGCTTGTGAAGAGTGGCTCTGATATGGATTTATAAAATTAAAAATTAAATAAAACAAAAAATAAAATCCCAGTTCTGGTTGTTGCTTTTGTGTTATGTGTCCTTGATGCTGAAAAGCTCATGGAATTTCAGGCAAATTGAACTGTTATTCATTATTTGAGTCATGGTGCATGCAGGGAACAGGAATAGGAATAGGATAGAATACAGTATGTTACTCCTAGAGTTCTGCATAACAAGCTACGACCTAGGTCTGAGGGGTCCCTCCCAGAGAGCAGGTCTCTGCAGTGCAGATGCCAGGCCCACCCAGGAGACAGGGGCAGACATGGGCCCATGTACAGCATGGCTCAGGCAGGGACTAAAGGCCCCAGGCTGAGCTGGGACACATCCCCTGGGCCCTTGACAGGAGATGGTGGGGGTGGGGGTCCTACAGAAGGCTGGTCCCAGACACTGAGGCCATGTGAGCTCTCCCAGGACTCTGACAGAAGTAGATTTCCAAATGTTTCCAAGACACAGAAATAAAAATATAGTCAATATATAAAATATATATAAAAATACAGTGATTGCAAATAATAATAACCTGGGTACATCAATGACCCTGTTGTGCTTTCTCACCATACAAAGTCCAGGTTCCTTGGGGAAATGTTTAGTTCATCCTCTTTGTACTGAGAAAAAGGAGTCATTCCAGGAGGCAGCATATGTGCCTATGGCAGCTGGGTTCCCTGTGGTGCTGTGAGATGCTGCCAGAGGACTCTGGTTTCAACAATGGTCAAGTCCAGGTAGGAACATTGCCAGGGCTCTTCCTGCACTCAGCTACCTAACCTCATTAAATTTTCCCAGCTTTGTGACCTTGGGTGAGTCTTCCTCTTGCACACTTTAAATTGACAAGGTACAGATTCAATAGACAGCAGTGAGGAAGACTGACTAACCTGCTGGAAAAGAGATGGATGGGATCATGCACACACATGCCTTTTCTGGTCAGCCTCACCCTTTTAGAAGTGATATTAAATACAATGTGATAAAGCTCCTCCTTTCTATTCAAGATGCTGAGTGCAATTTGCATTAAAAAAGCAAGAAAATAACATTTTTCTCAATTGGAAAATTGTGCGTGTATGTTTATGGCAGACTGTTAGTGGCTTCTTCCAGCAAAACCAACCCCCCCAAAACAAGATCTATATTGAGCATAGAGAAAAAACACCATAATGGCTGTAAACAAAACACATTACTGCTACTGGACTACATACATGGAAAACATTGTACTACTACCTACTCCCCATCACATACTGTAAATAACTGCACAGAAAAGACTGATTTGCAAACCGTACCAGAGTAAACAGTTTGCTGTGTAAGCCCTCATAATAGGGCACGGGTAAGAAGGTACCAGTGTTAAAATAGCCAAATAAAAATCCCCCACTGAGTCCCTAAGCCAGCTGGTGCCACAACTTACACTGCAGTGGGAAGTGTCTAATAAAGAGAGAGTCAAAACACAGCTAGTCATTTCTGTAAGTGCCAGACAGAAGGCACCTTCCTATAATTCAACATGATATTGTCACAGTGAATATTGCTACTGGAAGCAAGGCTTGACTGGCAACAAACACACAGAGTCTTTTTGCAAAAAGGGGCAGTATTAGATTGATTGCTCCTCTCTTTTGAAGGTGGATCCTCCCTACTTCTCTTTTTCTAATCATAACAGTTAACAGATCTCCAGATCAGATAGGTTTAAAGAGGAGTAAATGTTATCATTCCCAAACAGATGAGGAAACTGGGCACACAAGAAGGATTTGAGCAAGGTCATTTAGCAAGTCAGCAATAATGAAGGGGCTGTACTTAGTAGCTTATGCCAAAACCTTCTCTTCTGCATTTATGTTCTCTCCCTGGTTATTATAATGGTGATCTGAAGGCTCAGAAGTACCACACATAAGGGATGTGCAATTTGTTGTTTGCAGGTACTTGTTAACGGATCAATGGGTTAGAAGTGATACTGAGTTGGAGAAGTGGATGAAAAGCCCTGTGTAAGCATCGCTTATTAAAAAAGCCCAATAGACCAATGCAAATATCCTAGAATGTATAAAAATTGAGTTAGTTTTATGAGTAGATCTTTTTACATTAGATGAGTTATAGAGTGACATGTTTCATTCCACAATTTTTCCTTAAAACAACTTTTTTCTCCAAAAGTAAAGACCTCTCCAAGATCTCTCCAAAGACCAAGACCTCTGAATGCCACCTGCAAGAAAATCCTGAGTGAAGCCGCTTTAGAAACATGTTCTGCCTAAGCTTTAACTTTACCCTTTGCAAGGGTTATCAGCGGTGGAGAAGGCAGATCATGATGCTTTTGGTGTTGAAGAATGCTGAGACCAGCCTGACTCAACAATCCCAAAGCTAAACATTCAAACAGTGTTTCCTGACAGAAACTGGCACAAGTGAGGATGTGGCAGGCAAAGTTCCTGATAAAGGAACCAACAACTGGATAATACCAATAACTTGTTTAAATTTGCTGAGCTAAAGGCTGCATAGCTGACACAGCTAGCCTAAAAACATATGACCAACAGTCAATCACTTTATATTATAAAAGTTCATTCCCACTTTTTAACAGCAGGGACCTATAACATACCCCTTCTAGGAGTGTGTGTGTAGATTTCTCCCTTGAGAGGGGATGCCCCTTGAGGTTAATCCTTGAGACTGAGCATGGTTGTTGGTATGGGTGAGTAACATCATTCTCTACTTAATCATTATTTTGCTAGCTTTAATATCATTGCTTCAAGATTGCTTCAATAAATAGTGTGGGGGCTTGGGAATTTTCTCCTCACTGGCTAGCTTAACCCCGTTTTATTGGTATTGTTATGGGTAAAGAGTTATTTTTTCCCTTACATCCGTGCGTATTTGGTCTCTCTCTCTCAGTATTGGAGAGAACCAGTGGTATTGAATCTGAGGAAGTAGACTTCCACCTGAGGTCTTCACCCCTCCAAATTGTCTCAAACTGAGACACTGTGAAAGAGCATCACACCATGAATAGCTTGGAGAACTGAAACAGCACAGAAACATGCTACTGCACATTGGCATCTATACATGGAGCTAAACCATACCTCATCTGCTGGCACAACAGCTACTTGTGAAAATACCTTTAGTAAAACTTGTAAGTGCTTTGCCTGAAGTTTGGGCTCTTTTATTGGTTACTGTTGACTTCCAACAAACTTACGCTCCCTTTCACTTACTGTGAATTATACATACATTCACACTAAGCCATTATTTTGTATAATTGCTTCATATTACCCTCCCTTTCTTCTGACAGTTGTGGGACAAAAATCGACTAAGAAAATTATTATTGTGGTGAAATAGAGACAGCAGGATTTGGTAGATGGGAGGAGCACAAAAAGACCTATACTTGGGTCCATATTTTATCCCTTCAATATCTCTGTCTATAGGATAAAAACTCAGATTAATTTGCCAGTTGATGTAAAACAATTTGTGAAGCCTGTTCTGCAAGACAAAAAAAATCAGGTATTTAAAAAACTGGAATGTGGTAAAGACCATTAAAAACAATAATTCATTAGTTCAACCCCAGTGAATGGGTTTAACTTTTTAAATGTGTAAAAGTCATACCATACACGAAGAAGTCATCTGTTTATATCCATCTCCCAAACAGTAGGCACTGTGAGTGCCAATTTCTACAGCTGCATCATATAAGGAAATTAGAGTGAGGCAGTACTGACTGACCTGGCAATATAAGGTGGTTTGCCAAGGAACACAAGCCTGGTAAGTCAGCTGAACGTTGCACTGGACCTTTGAAAAGAAAGGAGTAGTTTCAGTAGAAATGGATAAATGGAAATCCCACTAACAATCAAAATGCTTTTTGTAGTGCTGCCCCTACTACTAAGTGTTTGTTGTCTTTTTCTGCCATTTCTTATTCATGGTTCTAGGTGAGATTAACTGGGAAAATAGTCTCACTTCTGGGGCCCTTTCAATCTAAAGGAATCGATTTTAAACATTCATATCACTTACCAAGTTTGGGCAGAAATACCAGATTTATTGATTCTGGAAGTTTCATGTTCTTAAGTTTTGGATCTATGAACTGTTTACAGACCTCAGACAGCTTTCCCTTCAGCTATGTCTGTGTCCTCACGGAACTGGCAAATGACAGTTTTACTGCCCAGCATGGCTCTGAAGGCACACAGCATTTACATTGCTCCTGTGAAGGTTCAGCAAGTGGCTGACATCACCTTTGGGAATGCCTCTGGAGATTTATGTCATGGTCAGAGAAAGAACTCTGATACTGTATTTGCAAGTGGAGGTTAATCACCCAAATCAGTAGATGCCTTCTCCAAATCATTTTTTCTCCCTTCTTGCTTATTTAACAGCATTTTTGATCACACAAACACCCTCAACATCTAACAGAAATTGGCAGCTTAGCTTCA